GGACACAGAAGAACATACTTCGAAAACCAATCGCCAACAACTAAAAGCCACTTATGACCCTTTTTTTGATCTAGGAAAAGGACCCATAAGATCTAAAGCGATTGTCTGAAAAGGCATATTAACTTGCTTTTCTTTTTTCCATCTTACCTAACGGCATAGTATTAGAAGATTTTTGAGCTCCGCAAACACGACAACTCCTAACAAATTTAAGAACATCGGCTCTCATCTTGGGCCAAAAAATTGTTCTTGAAGTCTTGATAAAGTCTTATAGAAACCCAAATGCGAACAAGTTGGCGGATTATGACATGATTCGATAATATTACGACGTTGAGGACGTGGAACAACCTTCTTCCATTCTTGAAGATTTGATGAAAATGGTAGCTGTACCGGAATAAACTTAAAAAGAAAACCATCTTCAACTTTCCACTGTGGAAATGAACCAGGTGAAGCTAAAATCTTTTGCTTCATAGTCTCATACCATGCGTCAGTATGGTCTAAATCTATATTCAAAACGGAAATTTGCGGACATACAAAAGAATCATTATCTGAAATATCTGAAGGAGAAACTTTATGATTGGTAGTGGTGGATCTATAAAAATTCTTAACACATAATAACCACTTCTTCCAATCAGATTCTGAAAATAAATTTCTGGGTTTGAATTTTTGAACTGCACGACCAGAAACACGAGTTCGTCCAATTAGTTTTTTGAACATTTGGGACACGCCGGTGACTTAACACCTAAATTACCACATTTAAAACAAAAAACCTTACGTTTCTGTCGACAATCATGAAATGTATGATTTGGACCAGAACAATTCCAACAAACTAAACGCGAGGTTGCTTCCTTACCTGAATTTTCTACAGATCTGGGCATACTCGAAGAAGTATTTACCATATCAGGGTCAGAAGACGACGACGCTACAGAATAACTAGCAGACCGAACAGTAGTATTTTTATTTTTGTTTTGAGCATTGACATTCTTAGACTTTTTACAAAACTGTACTCGATGAGAATCAGACGAGCTAGAATCAGGAGTGGTATTCAATTGAGAAACATTTAAACTTCTAGATCGTTTTTCATTCTGATGTTTAGCATTTTCTAATTTTCTACACAAATTAGAGAGTTCAGACACAGATAAAACATCAACTAAAGCTAACTGAGTAATGTATTCAGGAAGTAAATTTTGTCTAATAATTTTAATCTTATTAACCTCACTAGGGCATTTACTTAATCTACTAAAAAGATTCTCTAAAGTTGCTATAAAAATTAAAATACTTTCATTTTTTCGTTGTTTATAAGATTTAATTTGCGACCAAATATTGTCATCATTATCTGGTGGCAAAAAGTCTTTCTTTAATCTTTCTACAAGAGATTTCCAATCTGTAACATGTTGTTTAATACTTCTGTACCAAAAAAAGCATTCCCGGTAAAAAGTTCTACTGCGGAAGAAAATAAATCTTGTTCACTAACTTTACGTGATTCAGAAAGCTCAGTAACAGTTTCTAAAAATGAAAATAAATCTTGAGGATTACCATTAAATTTAATAGGCCAGTCTGAGACTGGACAAGGTTTAGCAACATAAGTCACAATAGGAGGCGGTACATTAATAACCGGTCCTGAAGGGACAGAACTAACATTTAAAATATCATGTGTCAGAAATTTTTGAAAATAAGTCAGCTTCAAGTTGATAACAACTAGTATAAACATCAGTTTGAATAGTCTCTGCATCAGCACGATTTTCATCTAAAATTACTCTTCTAATTCTACCAGCCAAATGTACAAGACGAGATTTTATAACTTTAAACATTGAATCATTTACTCCACCCTCGAATTCAGAAATTGACAAAGAAATTGAATCTAAAGTTGCTTTAATTTCGAAAATTTCTTGATCAAAAGAAAGAGGATACTTAAAAGACCTGACAAAATTTTACGTTTACTCTCAACATTTTTAGATGTCTTAATACCCCTAATAAGAAGTTCATAATCTAATTCTACTTGTCGTAAATGATTAACTTTAAAAGATTCTTTCTCCATTGTAATTCAGTTATATAAGATATTAAAGACTAAATGATTCAGAAAAATTTACTAATTTTAACAAAAAGCTGTTATGACTCGACGCAATCTATCAGAAAGAAATTATGTTCAATGTCAAAAAGAAAAAAAACTCAAATATTCAAAACAAATTCCAAAATTTTACCAAGTACTAACAACGCTACCCTGTATACTAAAATTATGTCCACTCTGTATATTCAAAATATAACCTTACCTGTATATTTATATCAAGATCAAAATTTCAATAAACTATGTAGTCAGAAGTATCAAGTTATTTATCTCTGAGTTCTAAACCGATAAACAAACACCCTCTATAACATAAAAAACAAAAATTGCTGTTGTACTGAAATTATAAAAATTAAATTACAGAAATAATGAAAACAAAATTTCAAAACTATAGTCTTTGCCTTAAAGAAAATTTATCTGAGCCTAATAGAAATTATTTTACTAAATTAAGTTTACCAATAAAAGTCAAACAAAATAAACTAAGTTGATCCAGTTAAATAGAACATGAGCCAATCAAATTAAGCTGAACCAATCAAAGTAAGCTGAGTAAATCAAATTAAGCTGAGTCAATCAAATTAAGCTGAGCCCCACGTTGGGCGCCATATACTTTATTCTTCTATGTGTGACGACTTTTCTGTCGTTACCCAAATAGAATGAAAAAAGAATCCGTTGCTCAGGGTTAGAGGAAAGCTGGGTTCGTAGGTAAGGCTTCTGACTCACAGTGACCTTCTAATGTTGTTAAATATTAAAATAAAAAAATGATAATATATAGGCTGCAGAGATTTTAATATTGATGTTAAGAATTCAAATAGGTATGGTCAAAGACAGTGAAAAGGGCGCCACTTACTTTGTTTATGAGAGTGGTAAAGTAAGAAACCAAAAAGAAAAATACGATATCACAACATAGCTAAAATAAAGTAACCAACAGCATTAAGGGTCTATTATGTTTACCAGGAATAAAAGTCAGAGAAATAACTATCCTACATTAAACATTTATTGAAAACGAACACAAGTATCATGAATTAGTCACAGTGATCCCAATAAAACCGCAAGTTATTTTAATTAGATTCGAATTTAGTAACTGTATTCTTTGAACTAAGTAAGCTACTTAATAAAAACAGGTGAAATTTGTGTATGTCTCAATACGATGATGTTTCGAAACATGTCGTGTACAAAAACCTTTAAAATGAATACGTGTTAATAATTTTCATATAAAATATCATAGCTAAGTAAGAGTGTACTGTACGAATCAAATTATAACTTATAACTTTAAAATAAAAAATAATTTTGACAAAATAAAAACACTAAATCACCACAATACACCAAAACACTTTTACTGCATTATAACTGCATACCATGTGGTAATTACTGAGTAGCAGGTGGTAGTTACTGAGTACCATGTGGTAGTTACTGAGTACCATGTGGTAGTTACTGAGTACCATGTGGTAGTTACTGAGTACCAGGTGGTAGTTACTGAGTACCATGTGGTAGTTACTGAGTACCATGTGGTAGTTACTGAGTACCATGTGGTAGTTACTCTATAAATAAGAAAATTCAATTCTCAGGACAGATACTCAATAAAAAAAACAACTTACGGTGATCATTCCAAGAAGAAACCAAACAAATACGACCTATACTCTGGATTGCATACTTTACAAGGTTTTCAAATTTCCAAATCGGATACCCATGCAATCGAAATCGAAAAGTGGATTCAGAGTGCTTTTCACTGGAAAATTTGTCGGACGCCGAAACACGCGTCTTCCTCAGATCCAAATTCCCAGAAAAAAAAGACCTTCTTCTCAGTTTCAGAAACGAAAACAAAAAACCCTTTTCACCACAGACAAAATGAGAGAAAAAAGTGATATCATATGATCGAAATCATTAGAACAGAAAATCGCAATCCACAGCGACGTGAGATTGGGACAAGTGAAATGCAATTAAGGAAGTTTGGCATATAGCGAATAGATGGCGCTAATAAACAAGACAAGTAAACTGTAAGAAATGAAGTTTGATATCTTTGGCATCTAGCAAATAGATGCGCTAATAAAAATTAAATATCGAAACAAGTGAGCTGTAATAAATGAAGTTTGATATCTTTGGCATCTAGCAAATAGATGGCGCTAATACTAAGAAATTTAAATAAAAATAGAATTTTAAATTCAATTTTATTAAAGGAAATAAAAAATGCTACAACATATTGCATCCCATTTTATAAAAGCAGTCTAGCATCACTTTTATTTTGTCACGAAAGTCGGCGGATTTGTTGTTACCAAGAAAGTTTTTACCACATCTATAAAAGCGTTCCATGCTTCTTTTTCAGTTGGGTTAAGAGTAGATGTGAAAGATGAATCTTCAATTAGCTTTTTACTGTCCGGACCAACGAATACGCCTTTTTTGATTTTTGCTTCACTAAGGTTCGAAAACTTTTGCTTGCGAAATTGAAAAGCAAGACAGTCTTTGTATAAGCGTTTTAAAAAATATTTTATGAGACCTAATTTGATAGGTAGTTGTGAAAAAACTAGATGTGATATGAAATTAAAATTGCTTACAAATATTTTTATTAACCGACCTGATTATGAAACAATATAAGCCGATTCAGATAATTTTTTAGTGTTGAGTAGTGTAATGGTTAATTATCGTTATTAGTTTATTTCTTGTACTAATCGTTGTGATTAAAGTATTTGAAATAAATATAAACTCAAAAAAGGCTTACAATATACAAAACTAATTTTCTATGTCTGGAGATGTAAGGAATGTAGAAAATTAGTTGGTGTAGAAAATTAATTTTCTACGTGTAGAAAATACGGTAGAATATATATAAAGTTTAAAAATTTAAACCTAACCGCCCGACCAAAGTTTTTTTATATGCTCATTCCTTAATCTTTTTATTCAAAAGATACCAATGTTATACATGCATCAAAACTTAATATATTATACCTACCAAGAAAATTCTGATTCGTGATATTGACCAAAATCTGAACTGTCATCACAAAAACATTATATTTATTGAATTCATCGTACCACTTGGATTTTGGCCAGATATCTGTGCCCAATTCCCCAGAGTATCTTCCTATTTTCAAAGCAGTACGTTTTTCTAAACATTTTGCGTGTTGATCAACTAATGCAACAGTGTTGACTACGACAAACGATATTTTTCCACCTTCGCTGTACGATCTAAAACAAGTTTAATAATTAGTAATAAACAATAGTTTCGTTCCAACGACGCGACGGAGAGAACCGCACTAGGAACGGTAACGCTTCTGCGCAGTGGAGAAAAAGCGTTCCAACCACGAGAGGTATACTATATGTATACAGATAAAAATCTTGTCCCTAATTCGTGGTAGAAAAATTGTTTTTGTTTAGAGGCCATAAGTAGGCGGGCTATATGCGCAAACTAGTAACCTAGTAGCCAACTAGTGCGCGAATCCGAAAATTGGAACCTAGAAAAACAATGCTTTTGACGATAAGTTTATAATCTGTATAATCTGTGAGTGAACGATAACTTTTGCATTCCAACAAGAGTTGTCACCGTTAGTAAATCGATTCCGGAACCGTAATTTCGATACCAGCCTGAAAGCAAGAATCATAGGGACTGACCTGCGCATTAAGAGTGTGTCAGCAGATTATTGATTTTTTTCTGGACTTTAAATTCCTTTAGCCATTTCTCTTTTTAATTTTGACAGTTTATTTATCCGTTTTGGAGCTTTGGGGCTTTTTTTTCCTTTTGGAGATTTGAAAAATAACTTGCTGTCATATAAAGTGTCAATTGGATTTCCAAACCAGACTTGATCTTTTAAGCGAATTTTTAAAAAATATTTTTTTAGTGAATTTACATAATAATGTATAAAAATTAGATACCACCGTATAGATTATTTTTTGCTCTATCTAATAGGATAAAAAATCAACATGGCGGCCATAAAAAAATAAAAACTTGACTGTTGTGCGAAATCTAGAAGGCTTAGAAATTTTCTGAAAACGGCATTTAATTGGCCGAGGTCAAAAATATAAAACTACCAAGTTACGTTGCAATACATACAATAGTTCATTTAAAATAAACGTATTATTTTAATTTTTTTGACATAAATCCGAAACTAATCAGGATACCGGGGTTTTCTTCGTAGGTGTTTGTCAAACATTTAATTACGCAATTTTTGTCCCATTTTACCGAATTCGTATCTCCCGTGGTTTCTGAGATGCCAATGTTGAGCATCGAAATTGTCACCACCCTGTATACCCGGTATACTCCCCCCCCCAAACCAAACCCCCCATTTACCCTCTCGTATATGCGCCTCTGATTAACGTCCTGTTAAAATTATTAACAATACTAGCAGGCCCGTCTACGCGTTGCTGTGGCTAAGGTATAGGGAAATTAAAATAACTTTGGTTGCACATCATAAGACGACGCATGGTGTCATCGATGACGTGCAACAAAAGTTGTTTTAATTTCCCTTTATAAGTTAACTACCAAAGTAATTTATAGCCTATGTCTTATTCTAACATATAAGTTATATTAATGTAATGTTTTATTAATACAATTAATATTTACAATGTAATGCTTGATTAAAATCCATTCAGTAGTTTTTGCCTGAAAGAGTAACGAAGATACAAACATACAAACTTTATTAATTATTAAACACAATTATTAATTATTTTCTTTTAAGAGACTATTACGCTGTACTTCTCAGATCGCTCTCAGTAAAGCGGGTGTGTGACCGAAGGAAATATAATATATTATATTATATTTATTCTAAGGCTTAGCCCGATCCTGTCGTGTTAAGACACACCCAAAATTCCAAACACACGTGCTTTGATTAAGGCTTGATTAAGGTTTGCAGAGCTTCAGCATTTGCCATAAAATAGCGAGCAATTTGTTACAAAACCATATAAATTATATATCACTGTAATCACAAAACTTCATTCTATTTCTGTATTGTAACGGAATTTTAAATTATATCTTTATTTTCGAGAAAATTCAGTCCAAACATAAGGAATATTTTGTAGATGTTTGACCATCAAAATCTTAAAAATAAAGAAGTTGTCTATAAATGTGCTACAAAATCGGATATAGTATAATCCTCTTTATAAATAAGGGTTCAGTTGATGACTGTAACAACTATCGCCCCATATCTTTGCTGCCAATTTTATCTAAGGTTTATGAACGTATTCTAAAGAATCAAATCAATGAACATTTTGAGTTTAATAAACTATTCGCCATTAATCAATTTGGTTTTCGAAAAAACAAAACCACAACATTAGCGATTGACAGGTTTACCAGTGGTATATTGGAGGGGTTTGAGAGGTGGCTTGATACTCTTGCATCATTTTTGGACCTTACCAAAGCTTTTGACTGTGTTACGCACATCATATTGTTAAAAAAATTAATATCCTACAACTTTCAGGACAATGCTGTTCAATTACTAAAGTCATATCTCTCTGACCGTGATCAATATGTTCATTTCAACCAATGCAACTCAGAAAAACAACCCCTGAAGTATGGTGTACCTCAGGGATCTGTATTAGGCCCCATCTTGTTCCTTATTTATATAAACGACCTAGCATACTGCCAGGGAGGGGGAGTCAACACTGTTTTGTTTGCCGATGACACAACCTTTTACATAAGTTACCACCCCTTAGAGATTGACAATCTTGATTATCACACTTCACTAGAAAACCTAAATCAATGGTTTCTAGCTAACCGTCTATCTTTAAATCACTCTAAATCGCAAAGTATGAACTTTACTCTAAGAAACAATATTAATTTTGATCACCCTGTACTTCATCATTGTGCAACAGAAGCCAAGTTTCTTGGGGTGCACTTAGACACAGGACTGACCTGGGAGAACCACCTTGTCAACCTGTCAAAAAAATTATCAAAAGAACTTTTCCTGTTTAGAAATCTTGTGCAGATAACCTCAAGAGAAACTCTTCTCACAGTATATCATGGCAACTTTCATTCCCATCTGACTTATGCTATTCTTTGCTGGGGTCATTCTTGTCATGTCAATAAGGTTTTTGCGCAGCAGAGGAAGTGCGTGCGTATTATTGCAGGGGTGGGTTACAGGGAGGATTGTCGTAATTTATTTAAAAAATTTAAGATTTTAACTTTGCCCTGTGTGTACATTATGCAGTGTTTGTTGTTCGTCAAGCAAAATCTTGATCTATACAGGTCACATGAATATTTTCACAGCTACCCAACAAGAAATAATAGCAATCTTGTACCGGACTTTTGCCGGCTTGAGAGATCCAAGAATGGTTCAAGATATTTGAGCATAAAGTTTTATAACCTGGTACCAGCTAGAATTAAGGCTCTTAATTTTAATCAGTACAAAACAGAAATCAAAAACTACCTTGTGATTAATGCATTTTTTTCTTTTGAGGAGTACTTCAGTTCCAGCTTTAGTCTGTATTTCATTTGTTTTGTCTATGTTAGTGTTTGTGTGTTGTATCTGTTCATTTATAACATATATTTGACATACATATTTGTTTTAATTTTAAGGTTTTAATGATTTTCTATTGGTTAATTGTATAAATTTTATTTTGTAAAATTTGTGTATTAATGATGCAATGTAAAAACAACAAAAAAAACTGTAGAAACTAAATTTTTATCAATTTTTATAATTTTATATATATATATTTTTTTTGACTTGTAAAAATACTTCTCTTGTATGTATGTTTACTAATAAATAAACTAAACTAAACTAATCCTTTTTCTTTAATTTCCCTCTTCATTTGTGTAAAAATACCTAGCCAGTTTTATATAAAACGTTAAATGCCGAACGCTTATTTTGCTACTTTTTCGGACTAGTGAAATGGATTCTTAACAAAATGGCGAAAAACCTAGGTCGTTTTTAAAGAAGTACTATATTATTTCGACAAAAAAAAAGATTGGGCAACATAATTGACAAAGGAACCAGAAAAAAAAACAGTATTTTGCACAGGTTAATTTGGGGCAGTTTGGTGACAATAATGACAAATATTTTTCAGGAACCGTGTTTCGTAATTAAAATCAGGCAAAATATATAGGAACAGAAGAAAATCATAAGAAGGTAAGAAGTGGAAGACAGCTAGGGTAATAGATAGAATGTTACCATTTATAACAAGGAAACATTCGCAAACATTTTAAAATTAACTAACTGATTTTCCAATTCTACAAATTTACTCATTTATTCTAATTCGTTGTCAGAGAATGTTCTCTAAAAATAAATTCTCAAGCATTTTACAACACCAAACACATCTTGACTGATAAGTGATTATGAGTTTTTTTTATGAGGAAATGAAATTTTATAGAATCTTGGTAACAAAAACGAACTTGTAACAAGAAAACAACTACCTAGGTAAGTAGGTATTTATTAAACAATGAGTTTGTATTTTGTAAGTAGTAAAATCCAAAACTAGGAATTATCATTTAATTTACAATAATTTAGAATTTATAGCATATTATTTGTTACTTAAAGCACAGAATATCTAGCTACGCAACAGAAGCCTCGTTACATGTATAAAATTGTAGGAAGCAAAAGGAGACAGGCTTTAAAAGCCTGTCTCCAAATCAGATATTTTGATGTGGTAGTTTCGCTACTACATAATAGAGGGCAATAAATTTAAAAGAAAACAGTTTTCTACAAACAAAATTTAAAAGAATTTTGTGCAGTGTTGCCATTGTGTAATTCATATCGTAATACTTCCTGATAAAGCCTACCTTCAAATTTGCTACATCATTTAAACATATTAAAATAGATCAAAGCTGTTTTTTTCAGTTTGCCATGTTAGTTGGAATTAAATCTTATGAGCTAAATTACAATTACTTCCTGACGTTTGATTGTATAATTAAATCCTGAATTTTCATTGTAATTCGGCGACAATATAATAAGGATTGTTCTACAGAACTATTATTATAGTTCTACCACTTCCTGACGTTTGATTGTGTTCATACCAAGTTCATATCGTATAATCGGGAAAAACGGCGTTAGCGATAGCTATGAAATGAATATCGCTGTCATTTTATATGTAAATTTATATGGGAAATGTCATCGATCGTCCTTCTCAAGCCAACTGGACGCCGTTTTTTTCAGAAGCATATCAAGTGATACCATAATATAGTACTATATTACGATACATGGCGTTCGATTGGGCTTAAACTTGGTATACTATATCTTCAGTGACATTGTAATATCATGGTACCATGAGGCATATAAAGTGGTACCTTCTATAGTACCATATTTGATGACATAGCAATATTAGGTACATGGCGGCAATAGGGCTTAAACTTGGTATACTACGTATTTTCGGTGAAATTGTAATATGATGGTACTATGGTGCATATAATCTGGTACTATAATATAGTACCATATTATGTACATGGCTTCGATTGGGCTTAAATTTGGGATACTACGTATCTTCGGTGATATTGTAATATTATGGTACCATGGAGCATAATAAGAGGTACCATAATATAGTACCATATTACGATACCATTTCCTGGCGTTCGATTAGGCTTAAACTTGTTATACTACGTATCTTCGGTTACATTGGAATATGATGGTACTATGATGCATATAAAATGGTACCTTAATATAGTACCATATTTCAATACCATTTCCTGGCGTTCGATTGAGCTCATATTTGATATATACTTGCGTATTTTTGATGACATTGCATTATTATTTTACCATGAAGCATATCAACTGGTACCATAATATAGTACTATATTACGTACATGGCGTTCGATTGGGCTTAAACTTGGGATACTACGTATTTTCGGTGACATTGTAATATGATGGTACTATGATGTATATAAAGTGGTACCTTAATATAGTACCATATTACGATACCATTTCATGGCCGTTCGATTGTTCTTAAATTTTGTATACTACGGATCTTCGGTGACATTGCAATATTATGGTACCTTAAAGTATATCGAGTGGTACCATAATATAGTACACTATTATGATATCATTTCCTGGAGTTGGATTGGGCCCAAATTTGGTATACTTGCGTTTCTTTATAAAGATTTGTTTAATTAATAATTTTAATTTATTTTACGAATTTTAATTTATTGTTCGATGTCGTGACAGCAACTTTTATGCCGAACTAATATATTATTAATTGTACCTGTGTCACTTTTTAAAATCTACCTAGGTCTATATAAATAAAGTGGCAAACGGAAGAAATTTGTTATTATAGTATTTTTTAATCAGTTAACATTTTTTGTACTGCATTTTAATAATTTCCATTATTATTAAACTTATATTTCATTACTAACGTTCCAGCATTAATAAATATCACTATCAATCGCCCTGTATATTATTAATTTTAAAGGTAATTAAAGGTATTTTCTTAGTTAACATTATAAGGTATAGTGTATATTAAAAATGTATATGTTTTGTAATAATATACTTCAAACTATTTTAATAGCCAAAGGAATAATTAATATAAGTGTATTTGACAAGAAAAGAAGAATAGAAAGAAACACATACTGAATTATATACAATAAAAAGAATGGGATGCCAATTCACGTCTTTTTGAATCTGGCAACTGTGCATATTTAGCCGAGCTATAAGGCCGTCGACGAGCCGTCGATCCAAAACCGAAAGTTCAAAATTTCTAATTATATTCTGATTATGATATTGTCGCGCCATCTAGTATTCTATTTGTGCAATTTTAGCTCTTTCATTTCGAGTATTTTTCTGTTGCGTAGCTAGATATTCTGTGCTTAAAGCCATGTAGCAACATACTTAATTTTTTTCTTAAAATAAAGTCTAGACATAATGATTGCATGTCAGTTTGAATCAAAGGTTTGAATAGAAAACTGTATAGAACTCATTGACTGGAAACTTCTATGGTGAAATTTTGATAAAATAATTTAGTACTCACTAAAAACACGGTATGTCGCTAGTGTTAGGAAAAATAATTTTTAGAGGTTACTAGTTTATTTGGTTGCCTGTGATATGCATATACAGGGTGTTTCCTAATTAATCTAAAAAATAAAAAATCGTTAGAAAATGGCTTACGGCGGGCTCTTAGTAAGTATATTTATGTTTTTCTCGGCAACCGTTTGATGAACAAGAAAAACTCAAAAGATCAATTTTGTTGAAAAAGGATGGCCAGCCAAGAAAAAAATATATTTTCTTTAAGAAAGCAGTAGTGTACCCATAAAATAAATTTATTTTAAGCAAAATATGGATTTTTTTTTAATTTTTAACACCCTGTAGATCAGAAAGGAAGTACTTTAGACCTAATGGTTATATAAAAATTGTTTTAAGAACACATGAGGAATCACACCACAATTTTTTAGACTAATTAGAAAACACCCTGTATATTGTCAACTTGACAATGATTGTTGATAAATCAAAAAATACCTTTTCTGTGAAGAAAGCCCGATTTTCGCAGGAAAAATTTTGGTTTTTATTGAATTTGGGCGTGCGTCTGCAAATTCTGGTATGTTTTTTAATATTCTATCTATCTAAATTTTAAATATCATAGTCAGAAATAGTTTTATTATTTATTAACTGTAAAAATGGTATAAGTTTTATCAAATATTGTGATTTACTTTCTACCTTGTAGTCAAAATTTATATTTAATAAACTGTAAAATATATATATATTCTTATGTTTTATTAAAGTTACTCTGATATACTAATATATCAGTGTAACTTTAAAACTAAATCCTTTGAAATAAACATAAAAAATATTTACAGCAGAAAAGGCGAAGGCGCTGGGTTAAACGTAGTCTCTACTAAGAACACGGAAGGGCGCTTTGACCCAAAATTTTACTATTAAGTTTCATATCTATCTTAATAGAAGATTATTTTCTTTTATCTATGATAGAACTGAAGGCTTCTCTAGACAATCTTAATTCAGTCTTCATTCATACACAATAGGTTGTACTGAACAGGTTGTAAGGTGAAATATTAAGTCTAGACTATGGAGTCTAGAGATTAGGTTAGGACACCTCTTACACATTAGGACACGTTAGGTTACCTCTACACTCCATAGTCTAGACCAGAGTTAAGAATCATATTAAATGTAACGGAGAAATTTACAAATATACTTACTTGGAAAGACTATCACTTAAATGTTTTAAAACTAACACAGCTATGAAAGTTTTTCCTGATCCAGTTGGAAGATATATAATAGTATTCTGTTTTATAGCAATTTCCCTTAATTCCACTTGATAATTCCTGGGCTTAAAATCACTATTTTCTGTCATTTTGATCTACTTTGATATTCAAATGTAAATCCAAAAAAAATCCTCTGTATGATCTACCTATAACATAAATTGATTTGTAAATAATATGTACACAAAATTAAAATATAATTTAATGACATTATTGGCACTGCAATTTTCAAGTAGATAACAAGAATATTGCAGATTCAGAACGAACTAAAATACTCTATAAAATACCTAGTTCATAAAAATAATGAACTGTGTGTAATCGGGAGATTAATATAATTAAAATAAATTATGATCAGAGTTATGATAGTTCAAATCAAATATAATTCATATATAATTCTCCACTAATTATGCCACTAATTTGACAACTGTTGACAACCATCATTTTCCGACGCTCGAAAATCAACAACCCCGACATTCAACTGTTTCCAAGGCCTACAACTCTGGTAGTTGTCTCTGACTCCGGTACCTGCCGGTACTCGCAAACATCAGCAGATAGCGGACACGGGGTGCAGGCACGGAGTGCAGGCACAAAGATCATAGACGTCTATAACATGTGTGCAATAAAATATACCTAGGTATTAAGAACAAATTATAAAGATTTGATTGAAATTTTTCAATACTCAACGCCACAGTGAAGTGTGCGAAGGAAAATTTAAAATAAAACTATAGAAATATTCGAATGTGTGCCGCCAGTACTTACAGATCACTTAAAACTATTCACTAAATTAGTATTGTGAAATTCTGTAGCCGTACAAGTACAAGGTGAGCTCAAACAATAGTCAACTTGGTCTTTGCAAAATTAGACAAGACCTCTTTGATCACGATCACAAAATATACTTACTCAATGTCTAGAAACGGCTAGAAACACCATGTACTTACACACCCCACAAATTGCCACAATCAGCAAAATAGCCAAATTAGGTGCATAAATGTATATTTATAAACACGATTTGTACGACCAACAGAGTACGGTAACTGCGACCAATGAAAGTTAGACAAATATAACACTTCCTCCAATCAGAGCTCCAACACAGGCTCCAATCCACAGAACAGCTCCAATCTCCAATGCAAGAATTTCGGGGAATTACACAATTCTGCACAATACACAAATCTTTATCATCACAATCATCACATTTAGGTAATACCCACATTTATCATATCAAATTATTAATAGTAATAATTACGTATTATACCTCAAATTTCAGTTATATCTTTTGATCGCTTGCCTCTCTTGTCTATGAAATTTAAGGTTATAAATCGGATAACCTAAGGCAGGGTTGCCAGATGAAATTTGACGCGTGTCGCAGAACTCAAAGCATAGGTCAAAGTTTGAAGATAGCCCAATGTCAACAATGTCGCAGATTTTGCCAAACCTTGAAAATAGCCCAAAATCGCAGATCAAAAATAATACATGACTCTTTTATCGTTTTTTTTTCTATGTGGCTTTATTAAAAGGCAGCTGTTAAGATAGCCCAAAGTCGCAGATTTAGCCAAAAAGCAGTAAAAAACCTGTTTTGAAGAGTGGGGTAAAAGGAAAAAGAAGAACTAAAGAGAAATAATTATTAAATTTTGGTTAATATAATATTATGATCATTGAACAGCATATTTAGATTAATATGGCAGTGCCTAAATACCGTATGATCGAAAAATAAACGGCGTCCAGTTGGCTGGGAAATGAACATCAATGACATTTCCCATATAAATTTACATATAAAATGACAGCGATCTTCATTCCATAGCCATCACTGACGCCGTTTTTTCTCGATCATACGGTATCATATACAAACGAAAGGGGCATAGGAAAGGGGGTGATTCTTTGGCTCTTTGACATAGGTATTTTATGGCTAAAGTTTTTTTTATGCTAAGAAGATCATAAGAAGCATCGACAATCGACCAGAGAAATTGAAGGGATAGAGAATGAGCGTCAACATGCGCAGAAGGTCTAATCAAGTTGGGCGCCATATTCCAGGTCTTCGTGTCATTTTGTATATAGGTGGTAATCTATAAGTAATCAAATATCAATTTGCTGTTTTCAACCATACGGGGGGCAATTTAAATTTAGTGAAATTCTATCATTCATTATGGTTAGTTAACATTAATATGATTTATTTAATTATCAGTTTCAAAACTGCGTACAATATTGGTATATAATACACTAAATATACGAATATTCTGACAAAAGACGCTACGGACAGATGACCTTTTCGTCGTAAAACACTCGAAATGATATTAAATAAGTATTTACAATATTTCATGTTTACTTGTACTGAATTACGCGTTTCAATTTAAAATTTTTGCAAATTTGGTAAAAATTGTTCTAAACAACTTTTTGTTCAAGTTGTATATTCATAAAAAACATTTGGTTCATAATTATTTTTGATGATTATCTACCTTGTATTTTTAATATAAACCTAGAAAAAATATGTTTTTGTTTTATTTTTTTTATTCGTCCCTTCAAATTATGTTTCAAAAACTGTTACATAACATGTCCTCTAACAAATATTTTCATAATACATAAACATCATTGATTTTATTAAGGGTATTATTATTAGTATTTATCCTGGTTTTTGTCGACAATAAAAACTCAATCTTGTAATAGAACATCAATTTTATATTTCGTAAAATTATTTTGATACAAATTCGATTTGTCAAAATTCAAGTCATTAATATATTGATAAACAACCCAAATTATTCCTAAATATTTTATTATAAACAAAAACTGTTACCGGTAAGTTTGTAAAACACATTATGGTTTGTCGTAATACTAGAAAAAATCATTTATTTTTTGCACAAAAGAAGCTTGTCGATCCTTATTTGTCCATAACAAAATTCTGTATGTACATATACCTAATTTATTATTAAGAAAATTAGATTATATGATCTCAGAATTTTAAGAAATTTTTTTTTAAGATAAAATAGTTTCTTCTCAACTGTAATATTGTCAACTTTGGCCTGTATTTTATCTATTTAAAAACATGGGATTGACAATCCCCTTACTAAAATACATACTGGAAGGTACCGATTAAGTTTCATTGCATCAAATACCTTTACTATAAATCCTGGCTCACAACTCACAATTTAAGGCCGTTGCAAAATGCTTTTGAACTTCATCATAGATTTTACAAGAATAAAAGTGTAATATTGAAACAAAGTAACATTGTAAGCTTCATGACTAATAGTCTCATTTTTAACACTTTTTAAATATCATCTTGTTAACAATTATGAATATTATATGACTTTTCTCAGTGATTTGTGGCACAGATACAAATTAATATATGCCCCATAACAGTTTTTAAATAAGAAACTTCTGCCTACAGATTTAATTTTCTTATTGGCATAATACCCCTTCTTCCTATATAAATCTTGCCAATTTTTCAGTCCAATGTTCCTTGTTTTTACAGTTGTAGGAATACTAAAAATGTTGACTATAGAACTCGATACTATGTTTGAAAAAGCCTTCATACCTGTAACTGTGCATAAATCTAATTAACTGAATTCTCCTCCTCTTGACACTCTGAACACGGCTGCTGCTAATGTTAGAAATATTTAGCACAAAACTACAACTACCTACAACAAACTTTACAATAAAAGTGTTAAATTTTCGCTGTTCGATTAAAATACCCTATCTTATGTTTTCTTTTCCTCCAAATAATCTTCTTGTCAAGTAAGGACCAATCTTATTTGATATATTTCTGGTACACTTGAACTTGTGCTTTCATGGACACTATAAGAGTGCACTGTTTTACAGAAGCACGAACACTGATTCCAAGTATCTTCTTCCTCCACACGTAATAAAAACATCCTCTTTAAATGGCCACATCATACACTTATTTTTGACCATTCCCAATTACAATCACGATTTTTACAAATCGCCTTTAGGAAAACTAAAAATAAACAGTTTTGAATCATCTGTAAACACAATTATGTTGTATAAACTTACACATGAAAACTAATCATTATTCCCGGCGTATTAGCTTTCTTAGAATGACTATGAATATACAACAATCCTTTTTGAATTAGTGTTTAGAATAATTGAGATAATAATAAATTTTAACTAGATAACAACACAAACGAAAAACAAAACAAAACAAAACAAACAGATGTCAATTAAAGAGGGGAAGTGACAGCGAGACCTGGAAGATGTCTGCCATCTTGCCGTCGACAAAAATTTGGATGCGCACTTTGAATAAGAAGACTAAAAGGAGCATATCAAAAATCTTACGTACACCGCCACACACCGCGATGGGCCTCAAATATGGCCGACTTAAATTCAGGTTTATCAGTGTCGTTCTAATTTTATTTAAAAAATGTAAAACTGTGATGTAGGGTAGACGTGGGGTAGACTCAATAATTTGTTGTTTTATTTTACGTTGTGAATAAATGTTGGTAGTTATTAAAATTGTTATAAAAATATATAATTCTAATAAAAATAGATAAGTTATAATAAGTATTTATTACCACAAACATCCGATACGCTACTGAAGCAGGTAAGTCAAATTAACGTATCCATAGATAAATGAAACAAGTTTAGATTGGAAAGTGCCCATAAGGACAATGTAAACACTATTTGGCGCTATTCTTGCAACGGTCGCGACCCAAAACTTTTGAAAATTTCGGAGCGGTTCGGCTTTTTCCGGAATTATATCGCCAAATATTGTTTATTCAAATTTATTATTATTTTAGTTTAATTTTATAAATAAAAGACATTGTGTTGGCTACAAGAAACTTTATTTTATATAAGGACGCATGTATGAAATACATATGAAACATTGGAAACCGACGTTATGCCACGATCCACGATGGTTTTTGCAGTTCACAGTTTACAGCACAGCTTTTTAAGTTTTTAATGCCACTTTTTCACAATTATCACCGGTTGGAGTAAATAAAACTTGAATTAAACTCATAAGATAGGAACTATTACTTTGAAAATGGACGCTATAAACACTTTTCGGAATTTTTTTAATGAGAGCGGTTTAGATTTTGAAAGATTATTATGATTTTTGAAGATTCTGACTTTGACAAGAGAAAATTATTTCTGTTTTTGTTTGCCGTTGTTCTTAGCGACCGCTATAGCAGCGCCAGATCGCGTATAACGGTCGCGACCCAAAATAATTTCGCGACCTAAAATTTTTACGTGCTTTCCAATCTAAACTTGTTGCATTTATCTATGAACGTATCTAAATTCTTTGACATCTAATCTTTGACAAGTAATAAATAGAAGCTAAAAATGTAAGAAAAATATATAATTTAGTTAATTTAAGTGAATTTCATAAATGATCGGTATACTACACATATGTATATTATATAGTCACTTACTAGCGAAAAGTTGTTCCATTATTTCACTCAATTTTTGCCGAGATCTACCGCACGCTACACAACTAACTATTTTAGAGTCTTTTTCGATAAATCGCGATAGTGTCACTGTTAATTTAAGTTCTGCCACAATTTCCATCTAGATTTACTGCCTTTATACAACTATCAGTAGTAGAATAAATAATAAATAACATAAAATAAGCTCCGTAAAGACTGACAAATCCACAAAATTTCAAATCAAATTCAAATGTGTCAAATGAATCGTCAAACAGAACTGTCAAGGATCCCCACCCTAGAGAGCTTTTATGGTTGCTTTTCCGCCCACCATGCATGAATACATGGATAGCATTATGCTCCTTCCTTAAAGCTTGTTTCATATAGACGCGAATCGCGAATTGCGATTTTGCGAAACTGCTCTCATTGGTCCAATTTTACTGATCATGGCGGCGCTGTCAGAAATTTTAAGATTTTGGCGATTCGCAAGATTTAAAATTTGGGGGGCGGGAAAGTTAAAGTGTTTTCAACTTTTTGCGAATATTCGCGCGATTTTAAGGTACGCGTTTGCGCAGAATGGTGTTGTGATCCGGTTATCGATTATTTTGACGACGCTGCCGCAAAGTAACTGAAAGCATTTCTCCAGTTGAAATGGGTTCTCGTACATAATATGTTTTTGATATATATGGCGACAATTTTTCAACTTCAACCAAGTTATCAAACTCCTATACAGACAATCTGTGAAAATTCCTAAATTTTTTCTCATTTTTCTTCCTTATTTTTTGAATTAAACTGCGACAAGCACCTTGTTGCTTACGAAATTTGAATATTTCACATGTCCCAAATGGCCCATAAATGACCTATAAACCTGTGCTATAAACCCATTCTCTTCTACGTTTTAACAATAAGTAAATGGCAATTTTACACCTTATTCTATTCCAATCCCACAATCGTAATCGATATTCATAATTATTAAACAAATTTAAACTCATATTGTATGCTATAAAATATAAAATAAAGATCGTAAACACGAATAAATATGTATAAAACAAATTAACTTATCTCAGGTTATGATTTTTTTTTGGTAACTTTCAGTGGAGCAAAAATGAAATGTCCCTAAAAATTCGCGACTGTATGAAATAGGTCCAAATTTTGCGAATATTTTTTGGCGAATCGCTTTTCGCAATTCGCGATTCGCGTCTATATGAAACAAGCTTTAGTCTTCTTATTCAAAGGATGCGCACCTGATGCGCACTCGTCGAAGCTCATTCTCCCACTTCCATATCTCTGCAATCGACATACGTCTCGGTGTTGAGGTTGTAG